GCACAATCTTCATTTCCGCTATTGTTTGGCTCTCCCAAGTTCCAAAAACTAAAATAGATGGATTTAAGTGGAGTGCTTATAAATGCAGCAGAGCACAAACCATTCTGTATTTAGTTACCCCTCAGTGAGTTGTGTTCCATCCAACCATTTCCATGTCCCCTCTACGTCCACATCTCGTGCTCCAATCCAATAGCCACTGGCAGAGTAATGCACTGATGGGTTATGATAGGTTGTGATTAAATTATTAATTGCCAGCTGAAATAAGAAAATCATATGTTATTACATTTTGCTCTTTTATTTTCACTAATAATTATGACTATAAGTTGTCACCTGTTGTTCTCTGCTGTTTATTTCTACCAAATCAGCACCAAAATTCTTGCAATAATTACGACTTTCCTCCCATGATCTGCGATTTATATCTTCAGAGAAAGGGATGTAGTAGCAAACAGAGTTGATTAAATTCCATCCTGGTGAACAGTGTCTGCAACCCTCCTCTATTAACCAAAAAAAAAGGTTTAAATAATTTTATAGTGCTATCAATATTAGTGTCAAATGTACTCACTAAGTAAAGGTATGTGAGATTTCAACCCAGTGATTAATGACAGAATTTTGTCTGACTCTTTCTGATAGTCCTCATGTCTTGACTTCAGGTGATCAAGTTCCCATTTGGTCATCCTCTGGAGATTAGTCTCTTTCGTCAACTCCTTCCTCAGTTCAAGCTTTGTGTTAATTGCAATTTTGTAAGCTTGTTGTAATTTGGCAACTTCAGAGTTAATGTCTTTTATAATGCGCTCTCCATCAGTCAGATTTCTGTCTGTAAGAAATGCACAAAGCTAAAAATCAAATATATTAAATAACAGCCACTACTAATTCTAATAATGTTTGACTTACAGTAGATGCCCAGACCGATGTCAATGGAGAGTAGGACAACAGCCAGCACAGAGAGAATTATGATTAACACTTTTTGATGATTCACAATTGAATCAAGCCTCCCCATTGAAAGTGACACTTTGCAAAGAGAAAGAGATATTTTTGCATCAGTGAAACAGGTCAGTCATGTTGTAATTTGGACAAATTAAATGGTTATTATGCCTACCTTGTTGTTCATCTTGGTTGGTAGGGAGAGAAAAGTCCTCACTAAAGTCTGGTTGACCCAGTTTGTTGTATGTTGTTTCCTCCATTTTGGGTTTTCAGTCCGTGTGCACATGTGTCGGAGGACAAGGACATTGCTCTCCCTGTATTTTGCACTGTTTACATTACAAACCAGTTAAATATTCACAGAACCATATCAAACTCCAGTTAGTCAACAAGCATGAATGAGACTATGGTGATTTTTAAAGCACTTTTATTAAGACTGATAAATATTAGGTTCTGTATTACGCAAAATTGGTTATGAGCTTTTAGCCGTGTTAAAACGTTGTTACTTCATAAACAACATACCCAGAATGTTAGTATTGTTTCACTCACACATGTTTGAACATGTTTGTGTGATTCTGCATTATTAGTCTGTCTGCATCTCCAATACTCAAAATCCCCTGTTCCACCTTGTGATGTCATGTAGAGGTAATGTTCAAGTTAACCACTGCCTTTTATATTTTCTGTAGTACAGATTGGAAATTCTGTGTCTGAAATTATCCAAATGTGAAATAGTGAATGTGTATGGAGTTTAAAAACACAGTGGAGCACTTCCAGTATTACCACATGACATCACAAGGTGGCACAAGTGTTTTCTATTTGAGAGAACAAAAATATAAGGCTAAATACAGTTTGTAGGCTTTGTGTGTGCTAACGTGTGAATGAAAAAGTGAAAAAATGCATAGCACACTTAGACAGCCAATGTCCAAAAGCTTTGTATTTTTTATTTTTAAATAAGCAAAATGCCTTCGTCAGATCATTTTTCTTGCTTTGGACCACACGTATACCTGTATACATGATTTGATGAGGAAACAACATTATAACATAGATCAGAAAATAGCATAATATAGGCCCTTTAAGTTTCATCACTGATATTAATTTTTATTGCTGAACACCTCTCTACCTCGGCCCCATCTCACATATCCAGTTCAACACATCATTCTCACAGTTCCTATTGTACCATGATTTCCAAGACAGTACATTGCGAGCAAAGGCAGCACAATGTCCTGACAGACTTTCTTCATTGCTGGGCTGATCTGTTTGCCAGTACCTGTAACAGATCAGATACAGAGTGAATGACAGTTCTGCTTGTATTCATAAAATTATTTATTCTAAACACGGTTGCCTTACCTTGTATTGTTTTCAGTGGCATTGTTCACCCAGACCCACGTACCATTTGACACAGTATCAGTGAGTCCTATCCAGAATCCCATCTTCCACTGAGGTCCAGTAGCAGTTATCTTTGGATAGTTGTTGTTGATTGTCATCTATGAGCGAAACTAGAAATAACTGGTGACCATAATATTACTGTGCACTGTACATAAGATGGGTTCATGTCACATTCTTCTATGCCTATGATCAAAATCAAGCTCAAGTGCAGGTCAGAATTCTATGGTGGAATTTCTCAAGTTGCACAATTTTTGGCTGTGTTCACGGTTAATATCTCTCTAACATCTTTACTGAAACAAAAACTAGTACAAATTTCAACATATTCTCTGTCAGAATAGATAACCAGAAAGTACTGGCATTATTAAAGGTCCTATATTGCACAAAATGTATTCTTCTGAGCTTTAAGCCATGTTAGGATGTTGTTACTTTGCCAAAAACATATCTGGAGTTCTGTTTTGTTTCATTCACATGTTTGAGTAATCTTTTGTTATTATTATTATATTCTGTCTACATCTCCAAAGCTTAAAATAGTCTGTTCCACCTTGTGATGTCATGTTGTGGTAGTTTTCAAGTTAACCTTTTACCTTTTGTTTATAGTAGAGATTGGCAATTCCTGGGCTAGTGAAGGTGCATGGAGTTTAAAAGCATAGTGGAGTACTTCCTGTATTACCAAATGACATCACTAGGTGTAACAGAGTGTTTTCTGTTTGAGAGAAGAACCATGCCAAATTATGCAGGGTTTGTGTATTAAACATGTGTGAATGAAACAAAACACAACTCCAGGTTCATTTTCAATGAGGAAACAACATTATAACATAGATCAGAATATAGCGTATATGAGCCCTTTAAAGTTTAAACCTTGAAGACAAGATTTTTGTCAGTTCTAAGATTTTGTGTAGCCAATCGCCATAGAGTTAAATAGACTTCCTCTGAAATTATGACAACATCAAATTTGAGAATGTGAGAGCAAACTATTATTTTATTACCATTAAATCAGCATTAGTGTTTGCAGTCATTAAAATTACCTGTTCTTCCAAGTTATTGATCACCAACAGGTCACCTCCTCTGCTGATACAGTCTGCCCTGCTGTCAGCCCAGTTCTTCTTAGAGTTGGGTGGAGGTATTGAATAATAATAGCATGAGTTTTTGAAAAGAAGCCATGCAGGAGGGCATCTGCCACAGTTGTTCTCTGCCGTAAAAACATGCAGAATTAAACAGAAAAGAAATGTTTCTAGTTTTAATTTAAGTCATTCTTAGTCTTACCTAATAAAGTTCTGTTGCCCTCCAGTTGAGTCTTCTCTGCTCTCAGTTCCTGGATGTGACTTTGCAGTCCATCAGTGACCGTCTGGAGTTGTCTGATTTGCAACTTCAACCCCATGTGAGCTCTGCGCTGATTCTCCAGCGCCATCTGAGCCGTCTGCTTCTCTTTGACAATATTGCTTTGGTTACGAAGAAAGTCCCTCTCAATGACAAGGGGGGCAAGGGCAGAATCAGTGACCTGCTGGAAATCTTTGACCTTGGCACCTGTACCCAGAGGTGGGTAGTACTCAGTTATATTATTCAGTTACATTTACTTGAGAAATTGTACAATCTAGAGTACTTTTCTAACAGCATATTTTTACTCCTACTTGAGTAATATTTTTATTGAAGTAACACTACTCTTACTTCTGATTTATGATTTATTTATTTATTTATTTTTCTAATTGTTGTATCTATCATTTGAAAATACCAGACATGCATTATTTAATGTTTTGTATTTTCAGTTACATTGTCTCAACAGTTACTCTTATCTGAGTAGTAGTTTTCCCAAATACTTTTTTACTCTTACTTGAGTAATTTCTTGGACCACTACTTAGTGCAAAGTACTAAGTAAATTTACTATTTGAGTTATTATTTTGTTACTATTACATGAGTAAATTTGTGTTTACTCTACCCATTGTTTTTCATTTCTTATGATAAATGTCCTCTCTGTTGTAACCAGTCACACATTATGGTTTCAGAATGAGAAGGAAGTATTTTGCCCAATAACATGGAGAGTAGTGACTCACTGACCCTCCTCACTGTGAGCATTCAGCAAACAGTATAACCTTGTGAGCCCCCATTCGAATATTTTAATAATTTTTAGTGCATTCTTTTTATGGTTTTATTTTTTTCATTCATTAATACATAGTTGTTTTGCGAATCGGGTGGCCTTGCTCAAACTTTATTGGCTAAATTACCAGGTCAGACTCTTGATACCTTCAGAAAATATTTGAAAATGATCCATACAAATGTGCATGATATCTTGATTCATTTTAATTAAATTGTAGTATATGTAGAGTTACTCACAATACATGCCCAGGGCCAATGCAGCTATCAGCAGAGCAGTATCGAGCAGGGTCAGACATAGTAACACCACACGGTATAGTGGAAATCCAAACACAACTCCTGTAGTCACAAAGCAGAAATAAACTTAAAGTTACTTAAACTCAATTTGAAAAGTGAATTTGGATGCCTACCTTTTCTAAATGGCTTGTGCCGAATGTGAGATTTTCTACTGCTCAAATTCTTATTAATTCTTTGTTCAAGTGACATGTCCTGGTCATACTCAGAATCCATGGTACTGCAGAAGGTAACAGACTGCTATTGATCTGTTTGCCCACTGTTCAGGGCTTATAAGCAGTATGTGTCAATATGTCACAATAGACTGTTTTTATGAGAGGTGGGATTTTTTGAGCTTCAAAAACTGCACTCATTTTGTGATGAAGGAACTGTAAAATTTTAACTGAAAAAATTATAAACTTATGTCCGGATATGAAGTAAACATGTTCAAATCAAATATAGCTTTTACTATTAACAATTATAAGGCAAATGTATTCCTACACAGCAAATTCAAATGAGTAAAGTAAAGAAAATCCAGATATGTTTCAACATAGTCAAGAGTTATTTCAGCTATGACAGTGCTGTAGAGTAAAATAAGTAGTTGTTGATTGACAGTGTTAACGTCAAACACTTGAAAAGTGTCTATTTTGAATATTACACTACATTAATGTTGGACTTTTTTATTTTTTATTTTATATATGTACTAAGTAGTTGTAATTTTTTGCCTCAATCTCATTCTATTCTATTCTATTTTCATGATTAATGGCATTTGGATGTTTTGTTTCTTGTGGGTCTTGCATTAAAAAAATCTTTTCTAAGGGGCTAAATTTTTTCAAATTACCCTTTTCAAATTACCATTTATTTGAATGGTTCCTGTATACAAAAACATACAGCTCATGCAAAAGAACAACCTGCGTAATAGGAATAAACAAATAATGATATATGCACCATAATATATTTACTATATATTTACTTTGTAATTTTTATTCATGGCTCATTAAATATTGCATAGCCCGTTTTGCAAGGTGGTTACTTCAATATATTATATTTATTCTATTCTATATTTTACTTTACAGATCGGTATGGACAGATTTCTTGCTGGTTGAGCCTGCTTGGCCTTTGTATCTGTGACTGAAGTGGGAAGGACAAAGTTTTTTTTTAACTCATCTTTGACCTGGCTGAATTTGGTGAACACTTTAAGGCACTTGGTTCTCAGACTCTCACAAACTTTACACCTGTATTCAAAGAACTGTCTACAACATGGACGTTGGATGTGTCAAAAGAAACCCCAAGAGTGAATGAGATAAAAAGTTTCTGCAATTTTAATGTTTCATAATTAGCAGGACTGCCTCTATTGTGAACATTGTTATGTTTATATAAATGGAGAGAAGATCTTGTTTCAAACAGTTAGACATGCTCCTCTCATTTTTGGAGATGAGCATGCCTGAATTCCATTCAAAACTTGATTCATCCATCGAAAGCTTGCATTGAAAAATCAACTTTAAAAAATTTGTGACAGTCATTATGACCAACTGTTGAGGGCATAGAGAATTTGTGTTGTCAGTTGGATTTTGAAAAAATATTATTGTGTCATATGACTTGTTTAAATTGTGTTGGTTGTATGATGTGCATTAATACAACTCAAGTTGAAATGGAATTTTGTGGTGGTTTTCATTATTTTGCATTTGTAAAAGGGATTATGATCTACAATGACCACAGCATTTACACTGTATTTAGTGAAGCAAGAGTTACTACTGAATAGTGTGAAATGGAGAACACTCTACACTATTACTACTTCATAAAGTCTTAAAACATAGCAATATAGAGTTATTCATTTTTCACTATACACTAGTGTATAAAAAATCTAATCTTAATCTGTGTCAAATTCAACTATGAGGAGTGTGGTTACATCACTTTACTAGTGTTGAGCCTTTTACACTTGTGAAAGTGTAGTTTTAACTCTTTTTATTGTGGACCCCATATGACATGGTAAAAGTGTTAAAATTAACAATATATGAGTATACAGAAAGAGGCTCACATGAGTCTCTCTTTTCTTTTTGGTTGCCAGTTCCAAAGCTGAAATCCAGTTGGTTAAAATCTAAAATTCCTTTGATCTGAATCCTCACTGTCTCATCCCCACCACCTGCAGCCAGTCATGAATCAGTGCTAGTGCAGCCTCTGAATGGGAAATATGCATATGTATCCTCTCTATACAGGCACTGGCAACCCCAGTTCAGTTGTGCTTGTAGTTTCTTTTTATTAAAACAGGCTACAGTGCAGGCTACATACAGTTGTTTTACGTTGTCTTACAAATGTAGTTTACCATATAATAATTTTTACAATATCAGACACCAGAAGTGGGACCAAGTAATTGTTTTGCAAGTCTCAAGTAAGTCTCAGGTCTTTGACCTCAAGTCCGAGTCAAGCCCCAAGTCAAATACAGGCAAGTCCAAGTCGAGTCTCAAGTCACTGGCCCATAAGTCCAAGTTAAGTCCAAGTCAGCTGCTTTGAGCTTGAAGTCATTTCAAGTCTTTAAACCAGTTTAGATTTTTGCAATTTATATGACTTTTAAGAGAAGTTGTACTTAGAAAGTCATAGTATATTTATATATGAGTATTTATTGAGTATATTAGAGTTGTAGAAATGCTATTTTTTCCTTTTTAAATGTCTTGACAAGATCTTGAAGTGAATCATTACAGTCAGAATAGAATAAATTCAGATTTAAAAGAACTTCTTAAGTCTTCTGAAGTCTTCTCAAGTCACAGATCTCAAGTCTAAGTCAAGTCCCAAGTTATTGACCTTCAAGTCCAAGTCGAGTCCTAAGTTTTAGTCCATTTTATCAAGTCCTAAAAATAGTGACTCAAGTCTGACTTGGAAGTCCCCAGTGTTGTCAGACACCCAATGCAGCACCCAATAACACAGATCATTTACAAAAAAAAAAAATCTAAATCCCAAACTGCAATTAAATCCAGGAGATGATTCACATTACCTAGACTACTGCTGCCCTCTAGTGGATAGGCTTATAACCTGCGTTTACAAACTCAGTAGTTAATGGGCCTTGTCTACTGTTTTAGATTTAACAGATTGCGTTTCTTTTAATGATATGATAAAGCCCGAAGTGTCTTGTACACATTGTGGTGGATCAGGACCTCTCATAATATTGGACATTTGGGTCACAAAAGCTGGAGCGCAAGACCTTTTTAGTTATAGGCACATAGTTATTGTTTGTTATACCTGGACACTCAATATTATTATCAGTTCCTGTAGTTAGACATCACTTTCGTTTCATGTATGTGAAATGTGTCCTCATAGCGGAAAAGGACTTGCTCTTTCAAAGTAAAACACGAAAGATCACGATGTCGCGACAAGGTTTTATTCTGAATTGTTTAACCAAGTTGGCCTCATATCCCGGAGTTAGCATTTTATTACTTTACATCCGTGCATCTACTTTTCTTGCATGTACTCTTTTTGCAGTATTTTACCTTAATCTGAGTTGTTTTTAAGTTACATTTAGTCATGACAGTGCTTGTGTGAACTTTGAGGCGTGCTATGCTAAGCTGCGGGCGTTTCAGGATACACGCCTTTATGCTTTACTACAAGTTGTTTTGATACAGATATCATTGGGCCTATATTCGTGCTATTTCCATCAAAAGCGCTGAACGACAGGAAAATGTCACTGGAGGACTATGAGAGGCACTTCGACTCTCTAAACTCGGAGCTGGGCGGCGGGTCGGTGGTGAGTGAGCGGTCTGCTGCGAGCTCGTTTAATGGCGAAGAGGAGAAGTTGCATTACATTCCTATCCGGATCCTCGGAAGGGGGGCGTTTGGTGAAGCCACATTATACAGGAGAACTGAAGTAAGTTTGGTCCTTGCACACTGCCCTGGAACACATAACTGTATAGCCCACGTAAAGCAGGGGTGCTCAATCAAATGTGCCTTACCTGTCTATTACTGCTTTATACTGCCTTGTTTTGAATCTTGGTGTGACCCTACCTCTTCTGTTTCTGTACCCCAGTGAGACATTCTTGAGTGAGAGCATGAAAAATGCCTTCCCATCATGCCTTTGGGGCTGATTGTGTGTCATCAAAAGTTTTTTTTTGTTGTTCAAATATGTCTTCTTTTAATTGTAGGATAACTCCCTGGTGGTGTGGAAGGAGGTAGATCTCAACTCTCTCTCTGAAAAGGAGCGCAGGGATGTGATGAATGAAATAAGCATCCTCTCTATCTTGGAACATAACAACATAATTGCCTATTTCAATCACTTTATGGATAAAAACACCTTACTCATTGAGTTGGAATATTGTAATGGTAAATGACTGCACTTTTTTCCTTCTTTTAACTGACTTATTAAATTACATTTATATTACAGGAGGAAATCTTTATGATAAAATTGTTCAGCAAAAAGGAAAACTGTTCAGTGAGGAGGTATGATGGAATCCTTTATGTCCAACATTCATTTTGTAGCCACAATAACATATCACATTTTATTTTCTTTAGGTAGTCATATGGTATTTATATCAGATTGCCTCAGCGGTGACTCACATTCACAAAGCAGGAATCTTACACAGGTACATTCTGCCTTTATTTACCAATGAAAATAATTATTTGTAAGGATGCATTGAATGTTATGAATTTATGTTTGTTCATATTTTCTTGCAGAGATATCAAAACTTTGAACATTTTCCTGACTAAAACCGACCTGATCAAACTGGGTGACTATGGTCTTGCAAAAAAACTAGACTCTGAATTTTCAATGGCAGAGACGGTATGAATTAACTATTTGTTATATAAATATATTTGATAATCTATGTAATAATGACTTATTACAAAGCATTGCTGGCTGGTTGTTATGTAATATGGTGGCTGTGTGGCTGATATTTTATGGTAATCTTTGTTGGGTTTTTTCTGCATTCTGATTGCAGTGTGTGGGAACACCGTATTACATGTCACCTGAGCTGTGCCAAGGAGCAAAGTATAACTTTAAATCAGACATCTGGGCCATGGGCTGTGTTCTTTATGAAGTCTTAACCCTGACAAGAACATTTGATGCTACGGTATTATTCCTCTTTTTCTAAAAAAAAAAAAATCATCATCTATACATGTTTATGTCAAATATTATTTGTTGTGTCTCTCTTATTATTTATTATAGAACCCCCTTAACTTGTGTGTAAAAATAGTTCAGGGCAACTGGACTATGGAAGTAAACTCTGATGTGTATTCGTCAAAACTGATTGATGTAGTTTACCAATGTCTTGATCAAGTAAGTACAATGCTTTTGTGTTTATAGATGCCATAGACTTTACTTTGCAATAAAATGCTAAAACTATTTTTACATTGTAGGATCCTTCTAAAGAGGCCCACTGCTGATCAGGTTCTGGACCAACCTTTCATTATGTGCTGCAGATCGTAAGATAATAAACAATCATTGTATCATTCAGAGCATACTTTACTTAGTATAAAATTTTACCTTGTTTTAGGGAACTTGAGGAGCGTGTTGCACTTTTAAATTCTGCAATGAAGAAACCAAAGTATGTTCTTCTGCTTTTAGTTTTATCTGCCATTGACCATACAATAGTTAACATCATTTCTCATTTTTATCTAGGCTAAACACAGTAACTGAGACCCCTGTTGCTATAGTAACAACACGATCCAGGGAGGTGTACTTCTGGGGTGGGGGAAAGTTCACCCCCCAGAAATTAGATGCATTTAAAGGAGGCAGTGGAGCCCAGCATGTGTGCGCAGGAGAGAGTCATTTTGCAGTTGTGACAGTGGAGAAAGAACTATACACCTGGGCTGTGAGTATCACTGTTAAACATTGCTCAAACATATCTGCCGTTGTGGGTCGCTGCAACAAACTCTACCATCTGTTCAGAATGTCCAAGGTGGGGCAAAAATGGTGGGACAGCTCGGGCATGGGGACCAGGCTTCATATCGACAGCCTAAGAAAGTAGAAAAGCTTCAGGGAAAGGCTGTGCGACAGGTGGCGTGTGGAGCTGACTTCACTGCTTGTGTCACTGGTAAGTTCCTGTGTGCCTTGGCCAATGTTTACATTTCACTCTGGGTCATTGTGGGTCACTGTGAACAATGTGAATAATCTTCACTTCCAGATGAGGACCAGATGTACATGTTTGGCTCAGACTACTATGGCTGCATTGGTGTGGAGGGAGAGATGGGCATGGAGGTGCTGGAGCCAGTTCTGTTGGAGTTTTTTGAGGAGCGTCCTGTTCGGCAGGTGTCATGCGGAGACAACCATGTGGTGGTCTTGACCCATTACGGAGTCATCTACTCCTGGGGCTGCGGAGAGTATGGTACAAACTATTGTTTTATGTCACCTTTTTAGGAGACAGTAATGCCATATTTTTGTAGTTGCAAAAATTGGCCAGGAGGTGGAGACAGTAACCTGACAATAGATAAAAAATATAGCATTCAGTCTGTGTTTGTGTTAAAATTCTGTTAAACAATTGCTGAAGATTTCTATGCCTTGCCCTAACCCCACAACAAATCAATTTAAATAATATTACACACTGAAATATACACAAAAATAACAATCCCCTAAAGAACCACGCACATTTATGCAAAGTTTATTCATTACTTTTATCCTTCTAAATTGAGGATTGAGTCAAAATTGATCTACTGGTTTTCATGTTTGAAGTTAATCTTCTTCATTATCAGGTACTGGTAATCTAGCTGCTATTTAGTAGTAATATTGTTTTTGTTATAATACAAAGTGACTGAAGTGATTTTACATTGTGCTACAGGGCGTCTTGGCCTTGAATGTGAGGATGACTTCTCTTCTCCAATGCAAGTAAGGAAATTAGCATGATGTTTATTTGTTGTTTGGAATAGTGACATTTTGAATTCCTTTCTAGGTGGAGCTAGCCAAAGGAGCCACAATCTCATCTGTGTCATGTGGGAGTGATGGAACCTTCTTTTTGACAGATACAGGAAAAGTCCTAGCATGTGGAAATAATGAATTCAACAAGCTGGGTCTTAACCAGGGCTACTCTGGTATAAAGAACCATCCTGGAGAAGTATGTCCTGAACAACACAAGTGCATTCATTTGATATTTTTAAAGTAAGACTTGGTTTGTTTTAGGGCTTCCAGGGAATCCCGTACATAACCACCTTGACATTGGTAAAACAATTGTCGCTGTTTAAAATCCAGACCATTGCTCCAGGAAAAAGCCACACTGCTGCTATTGATGGTATAAAGCTAAACTGACTTAGAACATGAACCGGATAACATGATTGTAAAAGTATGCTGCATAATTTTGATCCTTTTAAGTGCGCGGGAGGCTGATGACTTTCGGATGCAACAAGTATGGACAGCTAGGCGTAAAGGACTTTAAAAAGCACCAAGGTGTTCAAGTTCTTGTGGGGCCTTTTGGAGGAAAGACAGTGACCAAAGTGTCCTGTGGTGATGGATTCACCATCGCTGCCACTGAAGGTAAGCTTACTGACCACAATACAAGGCTTTAGATTTTGAGTGAGCGTATCAGGCTTAATATTGGATATTTTTTGGCAGACAATCATATCTTTGCATGGGGAAATGCTGGAAACGGACGACTTGGAATGCCTGCAGATAAAGGCTTTGGTTCAGAGGTGTGCCCTGCCATGCCAAGGCCCATTTTTGGATCGCTTCATCATGTACCAGATCTGTCTTGCCGTGGCTGGCATACTATTATTATAATGGGTTTGTATTCTTACAATGTGTTTGACCATATTTTCATTCATTCCACACCTGAAAATGTTTAATTTAATTTACAGAAAAGGTCCTGAACTCCAAGACAATCCGTTCAAACAGCAGTGGACTTTCAATTGGGAGCGGTAAATATTGTTATATATGTATGTTGATTAACTTTACCTCCATTAAGCATTTGCTTTTTACTCTAGGTATTGGTCAGGGAGCCTCCACATCCACAGTGGATCTGGATATAGAGGCAGGCTCAGACACAGAGAGTCGTGACAGAGGCCTTGGTGGGACAGTGGAAATTGAGACTGATGAGTCTCTTTTGGAGACACCAATGATGTCAAGAACATCTGGAGACAGCTCCTGTCCTCTGTGGCTTAGAAAGGTTTGTCAGCATTGTTTACATACAGTAGAGTCAAACATATTATAGTCTTCCCATTACATGCCACTGGGATTGGATTTCTAAACACGACTGATACTGTACATTTCAAATGTGGAAAGGTGCTAACTAACTGTGTGTGTAATATTAGGAGCTTGAAGATGCAGAGTTCATCCCAATGCCTGATGATCCTATGCAGTCTATTCCCAGCCAGCTTTCATCTTTTTCAGAGAGCGTCACCCTGCCTTATGAAGAGCTGAAAGAGCTCAAGGCTGCTGCAGCTGCACTTAGCACCAAAAAAGAACTTCCAGTAATGGCCATCCCAGTCTTTTTGCATTTGCACTATCAGGTATAAAAATTAAATTAATAAACATTAATATGTAATACAATTATTTCTTTACAGACAATGCGTATGAGCTCTGGTAGACTAAATGGATTGGAAGAAGCTGATTTGTGTAGAAGAGGAGAATGCAAAGCTAGTTGTGAGGTTACACAGGTATTCAAGTTACGATCATGATATAATCAGTTAAACAATCAACATGGGATGATGGTCATTGGTTCTGTTTTTTAGTTGCGTGAGACAGTGACACAGCAAGACTTGAGGATACAAATGCTGGAAAAGCAGGTTAGATATTACAGCCCTGAAAGCTCTTGGATTTAATCTGTTGTGGTGCATGACCTTGATGCTATCTTTTAATCTTTTTAGGTCAGTGAGCAGAAGAAAGAGAATGAAAGACTGTGGGCAGCAATTAGTCGTTTATCGCACCAAGGATGTGACAGCAATGGTAATCACCACTCTGACCAAATGCCTAGGGATGGAGGCGGAAGAGCAGCAGGGTTAAAGAAACATGGAGGCAGGTCTGCTGGGGCTAGTGTTTGAGCCCAATATTTTTTTATTTGACAAAGCCAATTATGCTAATCATTAATCATGCAAGCAGTTGGTAGTGTTCTGCAGTGCCTCACTTGTACCCAAAGACAGCTACCATAGCTTTATAATTCAGCTGTTACGTGTAAGTGCACAATACCGAGTTCCAAACAAAGGTAACAGTGATTTTAAATGTTGGCTGGATTCAACATAAAAAATATTTATCACAAAACAAGGTGGGTTTGACAGTGTCATAAAAGGATATATAAAACGTGCGATTGCTGTAATGGTAGCACAGAGTTGGGGTAATTGTATTCAAATACATTGAAATTTGTCCTTTAAGAAGTCAAGGAGCATAGCTGATTCCATGTCATGTCAATTCAGTGCAGTAGTTGGATTACAGCGGTCTTGAAATGTGAAATGTATTTCATATTATAGTGCCAAAGCCTCAGTACCAGTTGTTGTGTCTGGCCATTCATGATAAACATTTTATTTAAAAGCATACCTTATTTTATAAATTAAAACTACTGACTTTTTTACAGGCTGTTTTACAGTTTCATGCTTGCGCCTTTTGCTGATTTACAGTTGAAAGGTTTATTTAGAAAAGTTTGTCCTTATAAATGATATATGGTCCTATAACCTGCAATCTTTGCATGCTATATAAGCTCTGTCATTCATGTTTGTCTATAATGTTTTTGCCTTATCTGCCTTGGGTACTGTCATTCTGATATGCAAATATGTAAGCCATACTTTGCTATGACAATCCTATGCAAAAGTGTGATTGTTTTGTTTACAGTGAGTGTTAGCCTTAATATTATAATGATGTGTTGCTTTGAGGAAAATAAAGTGGAATGTCAAAGTTACAAAACTTAACATTTGTGGAGAAATACACTTTATTTTTAATGTTTGTGGAAATATAACCATTGTTGTGCCTCACCTGTTTTGTAAATATATTTGTTTATATTCTCTACTCTATTAAATGATTGAAATATATATACTTTGTCTCTTATATGCTTTAAGCCTATCACTAATGGTATACATATAGCAGTATCACTACTAAGTTTTATTGTATTGACTTTGCTTCTTTTTCTGTGGTACCTACAGGACAAACAAGACAATATTAATTAGTGACTTGTTAGGTGTGGACAGGCCTAATGTAGATAAAACTTTACCTCAGGGTTTCTGCTTCTGCCCTTTGTTTTCCAGAACTCCTCCATATCTGATCCTTTGATCCTATACAGGTGTGACTTGTACACCGGTCGCCTGGTCGTTTTCACTTTTTTACAGATCTGCATATGCTTCTCCAGTCTATCTGGCATGAAAGTTCGTTTACAGATGCTGCATGGAAGAAGTTTGATGTTTTTATCTGGGGTCTCAAGTTCAAGCTTCCGGGACAGAGTAGAAGAAATCTGTGGGAGATTAAGTTCCTCATGCAATGTTTTTCCTGCAATAACTTTTTCTCCTATGGCCAACCTAGGGCTAGCTTTCTGTTGACATTGTGTTTGTTCACTCTTAATATATTTTGCACTGCTTTCTTCTTTCCTCATTGTCAGTGTTTCCCTGCACTGTTCAGTTTTCTTTGTTATTGTGTCTTGTTTGAAATTATATTGTTTGGGATTGTGTCTTTCAGTCGTTTCTGTCCTCTGCTTAGTTTTAGTATCAGGATGCACATTTTCTTGTCGTCTCTCGTAATGTTTCTTCTCCACGGTTTGGTTGCCCCCATAAACATTAACATCAGCATTATCACGCTGAATCCTTTCCCGTAATGCATTTTCAACTTTCCACAGCTTCTTCTGTAGCATCAGCTGTTTTTCTTGAATTACTTTGGTCATCTGTAGTTCTCCAGCAAGAAGTCTGGACGTGTCTTTGCCCAGTGAGGTACTACTGGGAACATCTTCAGATTTCTTGGACTTGACAAGTCTTTTGGGACAAACAGGCTTGATTGGAAATGGTTTCTCTTCCATATCTCTTTCTTTGCTGGTCAGTTTGCCTTGTTTTGGTGTAAAATGACTTCTTCCTTGACCACAGACTTCTTGAGCCAGTTTGGGTTTCCTTGAATTCGAGTTCATGGTGTCAGGATTGTGTTCCTTTAGCGTTAAATAATTCCCTATAACATGAACACAACAAAGAATTCATATTGACTAGGAGTGATATTTTATTTCATATCTAAATGCTAATTACAAACTACTAGGAGTGTGCAAATTCAAACAACAGTGACCCAACTTTTAATCCATGTAGACAGAACAAGATACAGTGTTCATAAAAATGACCTATGTAACTTCTGTTTTTAGTGTGGTAAAATTGGCCTCTGACTGCCAGTATATAAGAGTATAAGATTAAATAAGGAAAACAATAGCATTTATTACTCACCGATGTTAAAGGCTCAACATACAGTTCAGGAAACGTAATTTATTGAAGCTCAACAGAAAAGCCTCTGTGTTTCGTGTCGTTGCCTAGAAACCAGCATCTCCCGCGTCTGATTGGACTACAGAACATCACTTCCGGTCTGTGCCAGAGATCCCGGATGCTTCAAAAACACAGCTATCGCCTGTTTATTTTACTGTTATTATACATCTTTGCAACTTTATCCAGGTAAATCATTCCACGTATATACATGTTTTATCTAGCAAAGTGTGGAATTAACTTAACAGAATGCTCCGATGGTCCTGCGTTTGCTTTCGTCCATAGACAAACTGTCCTGTAGCTAGCCAGGATCGGTTTTCTGATCTTCTTCTTCTTTTTTTTTTTTTTTTTTAGATCTACTATGTCAGATGAAGAACTTATTTCAGTGGACTATGAAATATTTGGCAGGGTGCAAGGTGTATTTTTTCGTAAATACACACAAGTGAGTTTCATACAATAACAGATCATGATACAGTACATGGATCAGAAGTTGTTGATATAGTTTGAAGTTGGAATGACCTTCCTAAATTCTGAATTGACACTTTGCAGCGACATCACGCTGGGGGTGTTCTGCCTTAATGCCTATGGCGAAATGTTCATCAGTTATCGTGGTGACATAATGCACACAATAATTACCAAAAAAGTAGCTAGCAAGCCTGTGACTGATATTTGAGAGTGACATTTGGACACAAATGAGTTCAGCTGTGGTTGTTCCACCTGATTACTTATTTATGGTTAGGTTAGATTATATTAAAATAAAGCTCAGTCTAAGCTTGAGTACAAAGCTTCAGAGAGAGAAGTGCCTACATTAGCATCACACCCCCAGGGAACGCTGATGACGTCAGCTGCAAAGCAGAGCATGATGAGCAGAGATGAAGAGTACTATGCAGATTTTTGTTGCACTATTGTGGGAGGCAAGAGCAAGTTTTTCCCAACTGATTAAAACTTATTCTCATAAAATATCTAAAAGATGAATTAGACGTGTTAAATGCAGAACTGATTCCTGTGAGCTTTTAGTCGGGCAGTCTGTGCTATCTGTTACTTCATGAAAAACACAGAGTTGTGTTTTGTGTCATTCACACATTTTTGAGTAATCCTGCATTATCCCTCTGTCTACATTACCAAAGGTCAAAATTCTCTGTTCCACTTTGTAATGTCATTTAGAGGAGTTTTACAGCATTTTTTTTTTTGCCTCAAGTGAACTGTTTTACTCCACAATACACTACCTTTTACAAATGTTTTTGTTTTAAACTTTTGTTCAGATGAGACTGCCACAGAAAGTCTACAGTATCTACATCTGCTACATCAACATATTCCTTTATTATAAATGTGGTTTCTACAAATATCCTTTATATTATGTCCTAAATTGAACCTAATTGCATGTGTCTTTATTTTTCAGGCAGAGGGACGAAAGCTTGGTCTCGTAGGCTGGGTCCAAAATACAAGTGCTGGAACTGTTAAGGGACAGCTACAAGGCCCAAAAAGCAAAGTCAAAGAAATGCAAGAATGGCTCAGATCTACAGGCAGCCCAAAGTCACACATAACAAAGGCAGAATTCAAGAATGAAAAAACTATTGAATGCTTGACTCACTCCTCATTTAACATTACTAAGTAATCTAATAATCTACATCAAATATGTATTTTGACTACTACTGACCTGAAGTAGGATACGTTTTATTTATTAACATATGAATTTTAATGACTCATTATCACTCTATGAATAAACCGGAGAGATGGTAATGTTTGTTGGCAGATGATGCAAATAAATTTGTGCGGTGGAAAAATATTTGGTGTGCATCCTTCTACTGGCTAACTTATGACATAAGAACAAAAAACTATCTCAAACATGTTATTTTATAGACTGAACAAGGGTTCCTGCCTTCCCTTACACCTGAAGTTGAAATGTTTTTTTTGTTTGTGAGTCCACTATTTGTTTTGCATTTTCATTTATTCTTATATGTTACAATCATTTCATAATCGTATTGCTTTTATTTTTATTTTCAAATCAGAATAATTAAATGTCTCATATCTGAACTTATAAACGATTATGTACGATACATGTTTTGTACAGTAGGTTGCGCTGTGACGCTTCTTGTGAAAAAACGTGCTGCGTCGTGTCGTTGGTCTTTCGCAACCGCACCGCATGAGGGCAGCACTGTACGAGTTTGGCCTTCACAAACTTCCTGGCCATCATTACGCGCTTTGTTGACTGTAAACAAATGGGCCAGCCAGTTTTTATCATTTTACTTAATATTTTACATTTCTTTTGCAATAAAATCTCGACGTGTTTGTGAACCCGGTTGCTCGACGTTCCTAACCGTGCTAGCTTAATCTACTGACGTGCTTGTCTGTCACTTGGTGAGAGTCGGGTGAGACTAATGCATTAACTCTAAAGATAAATGCAACAAGCTATGATTAAATGCTTACCTAAAGAGGTACAAGGGAAACTTCGCTCTGGTATCGCCCTTCCTTCGTTACAGCAATGTGTCGAGGAGCTTTTAGTCAACAGCATAGACGCAGGGGCCAATTGTGTAGGCGTCAGGGTGGACATGGACGCCTTCAAAATTCAAGTTATCGACAATGGAAGAGGAATGAGCCGTGAAGATATTGGCTGTGTAGGAAACAGGTACTTTACAAGCAAATGCTACTCCCTGGATGACCTGGAGGATCTCAGGTGTTATGGCTTCAGAGGAGAGGCACTTGCAAGCATCATCTCCTTCGCCTCACTTGTTGAAATTTCTTCCAGGACTAAAGAATCTGTGAAAACATATATAAAGATCTTTAGAGAAGGCACGGGCTTGGATGTGTTTGAAGCGGAGACGACCAGGCCTTCAGCTGGGACTACTGTCACAGTTTGTAACTATTTCAACAACATGCCAGTTCGCAGGAAGAGGATGGATGCTGTGCTGGAAAATGAGAGGATCAGGCAAAGAATTGAAGCCATCTCTCTAATGCACCCATCTGTTTCTTTCAGTCTGAAGAACGACTGCACAAGAACCATGGTGGTGCAGCTACCCAAAGCTAGAAACACTTATTACAGGTTTGTTCAGATCCACAGTCTTGCTCGTGCACAGAAACTGGGAGAATTTAACTACACTAGTGGGCAGTTTGAAGTCACAGGCTACATCGGCAAAGAAGGGCATTATAATAACAACCTACAATTTCTTTATATCAATGAGAGATTACTGCTGAGGACACGGATACACAAGCTTCTCAATAGTCTCCTACGCAGACTGAGCTACTTGAGTCAGAAAACTGACAGTCCAGAGGACCACACTATGACCCGGAGTCCAAAGCTCAAACGTAGCCAAGACCTTTATGGGGTATTTATTGTTAATATTAAATGCCCTTACTCTGAATATGACGTCTGTTTGGAGCCTGCCAAAACTCTTATTGAATTTAAAGACTGGGATGGAATTTTGCACTGCGTAGAAGAAAGTGTGAAAGATTTCCTCAAAAGGGAGAATCTAGAAGCTGAGCTTTCCCAGGATGACCTGGAAAGTGAGTCACCAAAGACAGAGATTAATGGTACAACCCACACCAATACAAACGCTGATGTCGGTGTAAGTCATTTTTCTAAAATGGATGCTGGTATTGACATAGTACTGTCATCTGAATGCGTTCATCGAAGCCACACTACAGAACACAGTAATAAGATAAACTGCAAAGATGATGACATTGAACAACAGCAGAAGAATTTATATGCAAATAATAAAGATTCAAAACTAAATTCAGAGCCATTTGGAGATAAAAATTCAAGTACACAATGTATTAATTTAAAAGAAGAGAGCACATCTGATGAAAGATGCAGCATTGCAAATGAACAGCTTCCAAAAGAAGTCAGTTCTGCATTAAAGACTTCTAAACATGTACTAACAAATTGTGCTGTGTCTACTGCATCTCAAGACAGTTTCATAAATACAAGAAAAGTCACATTGTCAGATCCTTTTGTTCATGAAATCCTTCAAATTGAAAAGCAACAAAATAGTGGATTTCAACAAGGAAAAAATGCATTTGGAACTAAACGCAAAATATCACTAGGAACCAGCCAGGAGACACCATGGGAAGAGGTTTTTCATGGACCTGCACCTGTTAAAATGAGAAAAATTGTTTCTTTATCAAATATCTCTCAGTCTCTCGACCAATTTAGAAGAATTTATAATAAACCTTCTGAAGAGCCTGAAGGCTCTAAATGCAAAGGTTTTATTAATGATAATTCAAACTGTGAAAAAAATCCACAATGTTTTGATGTTACAAATGCCAAAGAGCATGGGCACAGCATCCAGAGTCCTCCAACTCTTACAGCTTTTACTAAATTAAAACCTGTTACTTGTGTGATTAAAGAGAAGAGGTCCATAGCATCCAAACTCTGCCATTTAAGACAAAACAAAGAAGACCCTTGTATTACACCGTTTCCAACCACTGAGACCACTTCACCAAACAATAATAGCATCTCCGGTGATTGCACTCAACAGTCTTGCAACACCGAGGTCAATGTCAAACCAGAGTCATGTCACATTACCAGTCTTGATCAGACCGAAGAGATACAGAAGACCATATCAGATGATTGGGTTCCTCACTATGATTCATCTGTGGGAAAGACGGTCTATGTGAACAAAGTCACCGGGCTCAGCAAATATGAAGAACCATCAACAGAACAAACAGAAATGTACTGTACCTCAGATGTAACCAATATGGCCATCAGTGTCTTGTCTGAAACAGGTGAGTGGTAACTATTGCAAGAGTAAACCAAGGCTAGTATTTTGAATAACTTTTGAATGTAGGGATGGAATACATATGCTATCCCTTTCAAATGGATCTAGTGCTACCATTTTTGCCCAAATCCAGAGCAGAAAGAGTTTGTTGGTCAGGGCTTGATGACAGAGATATCTCAGGGACAGGTAGGCACACATGCAAGAAAGGACATCTTGAACAGATTCAAATAATAATAACTAATTTCTATTTTCTAAAGGTGATGATGAGAACAGCAATTCTCTTTATTCAATGTACTCAAAATGGAATAATCCAGTGTTTGTCAGACCACCAAAGGTAAAATGAATATGAAAGAGTACTTAACTTTTTAATATCTAGAAAAACATAATATGCTTTATTGTGTACTTATTAAATATACTGTACTGACTGTGACCTCTGTTTGTACTGGCAGGTTTGTGTGGACATTTCGCATGGCCGTGCTGATGGACTGGCTGTAAAGGTCCACAACATTTTATTTCCATATCGATTCTCAAAAGCTATGATCCCCACAATGAAGGTAAGGTGCAATGATTTTGAACATTATTTGCTATAAATGGTTTCATTACTATGCTTCTATGTTATAGGTAATTAATCAAGTGGATAAGAAGTTTCTTGCATGTCTAATTAATACTACAGAAGACCTGGCTGATAGTACGAGTGAATCAAATGGTGAGATTACTGGCTTGTATTACCTCACTAACTGGTACTGGTACTTATACCTGATATTTACTTTTTATAGAAGACATATGTTTTTCTTTGGGTATTTATATAGATATAGATCATTATTTGTTTGTCATTACCTGTTAAACTGCAATATTGATCTAGAATGACAGGTACTATAACCGTTAAAATTGCAGAACTGAGAGGCTCCGCCTCTTCGTAGTGGCACCGAAGCATTTGCATTTACCTGTTTTTATTGTTGAAAAATGTCTATATTCGATTTTTAAACATGTATGAGCTGGAATCATCTTTGAATAATCAAAGTACAAGGAAGTGGGAGTAGATGAAAAAGTAAATGTTCTAAGCACTCAAGTCTCAAATGCAGGATAATTCAGGATTACTCAAACATGCAAGAATCAAGTGAAATAACTCTGACTAAGCTAATGATGAGGTAACCCCATTATAGCATGGTTAGAATCTTATAAATGTCCCCTTTAAAAGCAGGAAACCTTTTGGTGCTCATGGATCAACATGCTGCACATGAACGTGTCCGACTTGAAAATCTTATAGCTGGTAAGAAATGAATACATTTATTATATCTTAATTAAAAGCATTAATAGCCGTAAAATTATGTGACAAATTTACTTAAATCCATAGATGCTTATGAAGATGACTCAGATATTCCAGGGGAAAAAAGGTTGTCTTCATCCATTATTTCGCCTCCACTGGAAGTCAAATTGCCCCTAGAAGAGCAAAGAATTCTTAGGTGAAACACCAAACATCATCATTTACACAACCTAAAGATAGTACTACCATTCTTATGACACATTTTTCCCCAGGTCTTGTCAAGCGCATTTACAGAGTTTGGGATTGGAAATAATGTTCTCACAGAAAGAAGATTCCAGGATTTTCATAGGAAAAGTACCACTGTGCTTTACAGAAAAGGATATAAATGAACGAAGACGGGGCAGGCCCTCAGTAATCAAAGTTTTAATAGAGGTAAAGTTGGTGACAGTTTTTATTTTTCTGAAATGCATCAGATTTAATGCTTACTGTAGCTCACTTGCTTTTGTATTTGTCAGGAGTATCTTCGAGAACAAATTGAGGTAATCATAAATAGCTTTTACTTGTATCTGATTTACCTATGATTTAGCATCGTTTTTTTTTTTTTTTCCAGCTACTCCGTTCAGCTGGTAGATTGAAAGGAACTTTGCCCCTCACTGTGCAAAAAGTGCTGGCCTCTTTTGCGTGTCATGGTATGTTACTCCTTAGCTTCTCCTAAATATTTCTACTTAGTACATTCTTTACATCTATAATATTATTATTTATTAGGGGCAATTAAATTTAATGACATCTTGAATAAAAATGAGTGCTTCAGCCTGGTAGCGTCTTTGTCAGCTTGCCAGCTGCCTTTCCAGTGTGCTCACGGACGTCCTTCTATTGCACCACTTGTGGACCTCCGTCACATAGACAACGAGGAAAAGGTAACATTCAATATCATATTGTAAAATGTTGACAGACAGAAATGTTTGCAAAAGACAAAGAATTTTTTTTTTTTCTGCAGAGATTACAAAGACCCAACCTGCCAAAGCTCAGACGAATGTACAAAGCTTGGCAACTGTGGAAATAGATTAGTTATATTTTTTTAGTTCAATGATAGAAAAGAAAAAAAAAGACAAGTAATGGTTTCCAAGATTCACTTTGGAGCTAGAGCATACGCTCTAGTTATGGTTGACATTTTATTAAGCAAAGTAAAATGAGAAAAGTAGCCATAGACACCATAGCTAATGGAAATGTCCATAGTCGTGTCTTTTTGTCAGTGGTATATGGATGTATGTGGCCAAGGGCCAAGGATGTTTTCTAGGTAATTTCACGTGATCTGTGTGCCCCCACGTGTTCAGCATCTTCATATCACTGCCCAAGTACATTTTGCATTCACCGAGACTTAGCCGAAGACTGAAGAGGAGAGCTCGCAAAGTTCTTTGACCTTGCAAGAAAACAGTAATTTTTTGTAATGAAATGTTACAGGGGCTTTGTCGTCGACCGATTTATTTATTTACACGATTTATTTACAAATAAAAATGCACGCATACAGTCGTGTCTAGGTGCCATTGTTCAAGAAATATGGCATTGAGAAGGATAAAAATAGGATAACGTTTCTCACATCACATTTTATGAGGACGACATTTTTGTGAATGAAAAGGAAGGTGCCATTTTATCCTGTGAATCATTACATTATGATGAAATAAATAAATATATATTTTTATTAACCAATCGTCTTGATGTATATTATAACATGTCGAGGAAAAAAAAACATTTCTGTGAATCTGGAGGTGTAGGCCTATTGTTGACTGTGCACCCCTCCCACACTGGATGGTACAGTCTTAGTTCATTCATAAAATTCTAGCAGAGCATAAAAGGAGGGGCTTGCATTCTAGTCGTCCAGTTACCAGGTATATACCTGGAGGAGAACCCGTGCCGTTCTGCCCAACGGAAAGCCACAGCATCATTGGATACTGATCAGGATTACATCTCTTCCGTTGTGTTCTATGAAGCCTCCGTCTGACATGGATGCTATGTCTCCCACCTGCCGGCCAGACTCTCCTACTGGGACACTGGGCCAGAAGACATTAGAGGATGCGAGCTCTCCAGCCTCCTCATCTGAAAGCAACGCAAAGGTATTGTCTTCACACATATGTTGGCCTATAAAGCCGTTTCATGCATGTACCCTTATAACCATTGGGGCACGCTTATGGTTTGTGTGGGGGATGGTTACAGGATTTAAAAGGGTTTCATATCGCCAACTGCTTTCGTTTAATTTATTTTTGAAATGTATTTGCACCATTCACATATTTTCTCAAGCAAATATATAGCTTACGAGGAATAATGGTCGATCATAGCCGTGCGTGTGGTTTTGTTATGACTCCGACGTCCTGGGACCAAATGTGAGCGTGTCGATGCAGCGGTTCATTGAGAAAAATAAATCCATTCAGGAGACTCCACAGCAGCTCTGCGTCAGTGTTGACGTCAGAGACAATGATAAAGTCAAATATTGATCTGGAGAGGGCTATTTCTGGTTGGATATATTTCAAGAAAATGTAATTGGTTACATAGGAAATCCTCTGTCTACACACTACCTTTCTGTTTAAAGAATTAGTTTAGACATAGCCTATGTAATAAATATTTTATAGGCTAGTGCTACTGATTTTTTTTTTTTCCCTTTTGTCATTATGGATGTTATATCATTTCTTTCAGGAGGTGTGTCAAGACACTCCGTTTGTACCAACAGTCACTGCAATTTCCTCTACCCCAGACTTTCAGTGGATGGTGCAGCCTACCATTATTGCATCTGCCTCTCCATCTCTGGGAAACAAACAAGCCAATGAACCGCAAAGCTTGAACAAGGCAACACCCAAAACGGGCGGGAATAAAGGAAAGACTGCTGTCAGAAAGGGGAAAGCAGAGCAGGTAGGGTGGCTGAGCTCAAGCCCTTCTTCTATTGGCCAAACCAGTCAATATTGTAAATTTACATATGTCAATCTGAATTCCTTGTGTGCAACAGTGCCATTGTGCATGCTTCTTTGGT